ACAAATTCTAGAAGTCCTTTTGCTGGAATCCTCAATACATTCCCCTTAGACCTGGTGTAGCATTTCTGCTGGGTTCTTTGTAGAATCCTGAACCTGTGTCCAATCTATTTGTGGCTCCCAAAGCAGACACTGTCATCAGCTGCTAGGATGTTGATGAGAAGTCTATAATTTTCCAGACCTTCCAAAGATCAAAAGGTCCTCCTCCCACCAATGGGGAAATTGTGAGAGACCCAGACTGTGACTGAGGTGCTCTCCTCTACCAGCCAAGCCAAGGCTCTCAGGGTTGAGTCTGTCTCCTGGTTCCACATTCATTCACATTTCTCTGGTTCTGAACTAGCTTCCTGGTTTTAGACCCCAAAGGTTAACCAAGACCCACAACCAACAAAATAGATTTCCTGTTGCACATAGATGTACTTGATTGATTCAAAAAGCTGTCTGGCCCATACTTACACTTAAAGAATAATTGAGATATTCTTCCCTGATAAATGTATCAGGATTTAGGAACTTGGCACTTTAAATGGGCTGGGGTGATTTGATTAATTTACTCAATTGACCCTCACTCTTATAAAGGATACATATTAGTAATTTGGTTGCAGGGAGAACACTAACCTCTAACAACAACAACAATAATAGCATTTATGTAGTACTTTGTAGTTTATATTATCTCATTTTGATCCTCACAACTAGAGAGATAAGGAAATCTAGGGCACCTGCAGCTTGCAACACTATGTCTAGCAGCATCAAGAGCAGAGGGTTCCCCTGAAAAAAGCCTAGGGTGGTCAGAAAGTCCCAGAAGAGGATTTGGATCTTGAAAGCTCCAGGGAGCAGATGTGATCAGTGACCAACATGACAACACAGCACTTCAGCTCTCAGACCCCAGCACCACTTAGACTGGACAGCCCAGGACTACGGACTCTAAGGCCCCTAACATTGTGTCCTGAGACAAAAGAGAAGTATTGGAAGATCCATTGCTCTGAATCTCAAAGATGGAGACAACAGTCTAAGCCTAAGGGACAGAAATCAGCACAACCAGAGTGGCTGGGGTGAGACCAATCAGGGTCAAGAATGTAGCAGAGGGTAGCACAAAACTCCAATTCAGAAACTAAAACTGGGGAGATGAATATTAAAAAATGATTGAAAATCTAACTTCATAACAACTATAAGCAGAGACTCAAAGAAAAAATTTTATTTTCCACAAGGAATACATAATGCCTAAAAGAAATGAAGCAAGAGATAAAAAAATGAAATAAAAGCTCTGAAATAAAGAACTGGAAAAAATAAGTAGCTTATGAGAGAAAGTGGTCATTCTTTCCTAAGAAAGGGAATCTCTGAAAACTAGAATGGACAAAACAGAAACCAAGACTCCACAACACAGCAAGAAATATTAAAAACAAATCAAAACAATGAAAATAGAGTAAAATGTAAAATATTTTATATCAAAAACAACTGACTGGAGAAACATGAACACAGAGAAATAATTTAAGAATCAGTACATTTCCTGCAAACTATGACCAAACAAACAAACAAACAAAAAACCCTGGACCAGTGCATTTCAATAAATCATAAATAAAAACTGCCTAGATCTATTAGAATGAAAGGACAAATTGAAGCTAATTCCACCAATCAACTCATGAAGAAAACTCCAAAAGAAAAAGTCCCTGAAATGCCACACCCAAAGTCCAGAGTTTCCACATCAAAGAAAAAATACCGTGAGCATCCAAAAAGGAGTTCAAGTACCAAGGAACCAGTCAGGATCATAGAAGACATGGTAGTTTCTTCTATAACAGGAGATTCTTGAATACAATATTCCAAAAGGAAAACTATATAGGCTTACAACCAAAAATAACTTATCCTGCAAAGCTGAATATAATCCTTTGCAGAGAGAGGAAGAGGAATGGACCTTTAATGAAATGGAACACTTTTAAGCATTTCTGATGAAAAGACCAGAGCTGCATAGGAACTTTGAAATATAAACATTAAAAATCAACAGAAACCAAGAAAGGGACATTTATCTGAGTAAGTGGAAGAGGTTTTATGATGATGTAGCACTAACATTCTAATAATGGGAGAAGAAACAAGTCCCTTCAGAACCTCAATGTCTTCAAACATTATTGAAGGAGTTAAAGAAGAAAAAGCAGAGGTGCTGGGTGAAGTAGGACTGGTTTTATTCTAAGGGTTTGAAGAAAGGGAAGGGAAGGGAAAATAAAAAGAAGAATACACTTGTGTAGAAAAGAAGGGGTAGAACTTGCTATTTAAGAATAGGGGGGGGGGGGCAGCTAGGTGGTGCAGTGGATAGAGGACTGGCCCTGAAGTCAGGAGGACCTGAATTCAAATCCGGCCTTAGACTGAACACTTAGCACTTATTAGCTGTGTGACCCTGGGCAAGTCACTTAACCCCAATTGCCTAAAAAGGAAAAAAAAAAGAATAATTGGGTTACCTGAAAAGAATATGCAAACATGAAGGAAGAGTAGAGGAAGTGGGCACCACATGAACCTCACTCTTATCTGAAATGGACAAAGGAGGGTTGAACACACACAGTTTGTGGTAGAAATACATCAAACTAGACAGGGAAAGGTGAGGATAGGGAGGAGTTAAAAGGAAGGATAATGTGAGGGATAGAAGTAAGGGTGTGCCTCAGACAACTGGGAAATACCAGAACAAATTATGATATATGAATGTAACAGAATATTATTGTGCTCTAATTCTGAAATGATAAAAGAGATGATTTCAGAGAATCCTGGGTAGTATGAACTGACACAGAGAGAAGTGACCAGAACTAGGACAACAATTTATATAAGTGCAGCAATAATGTAAAGAAAAACAACTTTGAAAGACTTAAGAACTCTGTTCAAAGCACTGACCAACCACATCTATAGATGACCTAAAATGAAGCGTGTACCACCTCCTGACAGAGAAGTGATAGACACAAGGTTCCAAGGGACATAGTTTTAGACTTGGCCACTGTATATTGGTTTTGCTTGTCTTTCTTTATTTATTACAAAGGATTTAAAAAAAAATTTCCTTTCTCTTTCTCTTGACTTATACCCGGATAGGGAGAAGATGGAGTTAACAATAGTGATGCCAAGCGGGGGTGGTGAGGTACGGGACTATAATGTCCAAAAAAGAACATAAGAAAGTTCAGAAGGAGGCACAGAAAAGTAGGGGACAGTTTTAAAAATGTAGAATCTATTATATATTTTTTAAACCCCAAAGCAGAGATTTGTGGTTTCATACGTAATCCTCATTTTATATTCTGCTGTGTGTATGGGAATATTCTTTGGGAGGGTAGGATTAAGTCAGACTTTTAAAAAAGAGGCATTTAACAATAGTCTAGGCAAGAAGTGATGAGGGATTGAATTGGAGTAAAAGAAGTGGGAATTTGAGAGAGAAAACTTTGGAGGAGGAGTCTTAGGGGATGATGGGAAGGTTATGAACTCAATTTTAGACAGGTAAGCTTGGAGGTGACTATAATGCTGGTTCTATAAAATAAAGTCAAAGATTTCAGCTCTGATACTGCAGAAAAAAAAGAGCGGTATGTCTAAAACTGAAGGCCTGGTAGGAAGGTTAGGGATAGTGGAACTGGACCGTTGAGTTAAAAAAAGTTCGTGGCAATAGAGAGTTGAGGAAACCAGCCAAATGACCTGGAAATATAGGAAATGTAAGGGATGTCATATAGCATATGATTCCTGTTGAGCAAAGGCGGAAAGGAAGAGGAAAGAGGTAAGAAATAAGGAAGAGGTAAGAGAATAAAGGCCAAGAATGTTTAAAAAAAAAAGGACATTGTCAACAGAAATAGCACAATTGGCATTTGGAGTTCAATTGCACTTCAGACACTAAATAGCTGTTTGACTACAGGCAAGTCACAACCTCTTGGAGCTTCAGTTTCCCATCTTTAAAATGGAAATAATACTGCTAGCACTCCTTCCTTCACAGAGATATTATAAGGGAAGTTCTTTGCAAATCTTAAAGCACTATATAAACGTGAAGCATGAAGTCCAAATTCTGGAATGTCCAGCACTAAGCCAAACACACGAGTACCTGATAGTCATCATTAACATTCCAGTCTCTACCCACTACTCACCCAACGTGGTCTTTCTCTCTTCTCTGACCCTTCCCTTCTAACCACTCTCACTTCATGTAACATAAACAGGCTTCCTCTAAAACCTTCATTAAGGGTCCTAACTACTCTAAATGTTACATTTTAGAGGGGCAGGTTGTCTCAGAGGTTGTAATAAAGTACCAGACTTTCCTTGCCCTCAAATCCAACAGTGCTGGGTTAGTTTTTTTGTTTGCTTTATGACTGAGTGTGGGTAACAAACATCAGAAGAGAGATGTTGGGGGTGCAAGAGGGGCATGTAACTCTTTTTTGGCCATTGAAACAAAAAACGTGAATATGACTAAAAAACTAAAATAGAGAGATGGATGCAGACTGTCCTTTCCCGCTGCCTTCCTCACTAATCTGTCCCCAACCCTCTTCCCCGCTTCATCTCCGTGAAGGACTCTTCCCCTCTGCCCATATTCCGAATGTTCCCTCTTGCATTTTCCAGCTGCGACTACTAAAATCCAGGAAAGTGGGCCCACGCACATCCTCTTGGGGACCTCTAGCCCAGCCATGGGAAGCTAGATAGTTAGAGTCTGCAGAAGGAGTGGCAAGCGGAGAGCTGTAGAAGCGATGATTACTAACAGGAGACTTAGACAGTCGGGAGAAGAGTGGAAGCGCACTGGCGACGTGCACGTAGCTCCTCCTCCTTGACCCGTGAGCTCAGCCCGGAATCACAGGGGAAGGAGGAGGAGCTAGCATGAAAGAAGAGGAGCGCTGCTGAGGCAGTGGCTGTAGCTAGGGCTGGAGCTGGGGCTGGGGCCGGGGCTGGAGCTGAGGCTGGACTGAACTGAGAAAGAGCCCGAGCGGTGGCTGCCACCTCAGACGCCCGGGTGCCCAGCTACCTGGGAGCGGAAGGCCGGCCGGGGGCTGCTGACGCCCCAAGAGCCCATGGAAGGCAAGGCTGCCGAGCAGAACTCGGGGCTCCGTGGGCTGCGGGTGCTGGGGGTCCCCAGCAGGTAGGCAGTGCTGCCGCTGAAGGGTGGGGAGGGAGTGTCGAAGAGGTTGGCTCTGAGCACGCCGCTGCTGCCAGGGAGAATCCCCACATTGCCCGGAGGAAGAGGGGGAAGGCGGCCGCTGGTGGGAGCCCCGAAGCGGGGGGGTTGGGGGCTGTCCTAGGCAGAGCGGACCTAGTCCGACCGGGGCCGAGGTCGGTGCCCGGGCGCCTGGCTGCTGGGGCGGGATCCGATGCAGAGCCGGGAAGGCAGCCCCTTCATTAGCTTGCGCGTCGCATCCTTCGCTGTCGCCCGCCAGGGCCAGACTTGTTCTTGCAGCTGCCGCCGCCACTGAGACCTGGGCCGGGGCAGCCCTGCCCTGACATCATGTACACCTTCGTGGTGCGCGACGAGAACAGTAGCGTCTATGCCGAAGTCTCCAAGCTGCTCCTTTCGACTGGACAATGGAAACGGCTGAAGAAAGACAACCCCAGGTTTAACCTGATGCTAGGAGAGAGGAACAGGCTGCCCTTTGGGAGACTGGGTGAGAGACTTCCCACTCCTTCCCCTGCCCACCTCCCTCCTATTGCTTTTTTAGTGCATGCTCTCCTCTCATCCTGAGGAAATAAAGACAATTTATCTTTTCCCATCCACGAAGGTGAAACGATCACATAAGGTCTGAGAGTCCATTAGGTTTAATCCCTCACCCCTTCACCCAAACCAGACTTAGGGTGGGTTTTAAGCTGACGCTCTTTTCCCCTGATTCCTCTCTTCCAGCCCATCCTGAACAATGGGCCGAGTCAGAAATTTATATTTTGGGAAGCTCTGCATAGTGCGGTGGAAGAGGATTGAGATGCTCTAGGAGAAGGGGAAGTATTGGCACAGAGTAGGGTCCCGAACAGCAGCAGCTTTGCGTCTTGGGTGTTGCCTGCTGCAACAAGGGAGGGACTCAAATCTGGTATTCACCAGTTAGAAGCCCTGAACTAGGGTTATACCCAGTATCCAAGGTAATAAATTATGTCTCTAGGCTTTATTTCTTAAAAAAGATAAAGTTTTTTTTTCTTGGCTTTAAAAGAAAAAGAATCAGTTCTAATAGTCATTCATGGTTGGCAACAAAACTGGGCAGTCATTCTGCAGCACCGACAAACCGCCTTTCAACTTGGACCTGGTACTTCATTCACCCTTCAGCTCTTTGAAATATTCTGCTGAGTGATTCCTTTTTCTTGAATTCCTAGGGGAGTAGTCTATTTAGGATTGCCCCTTTAAGACTGAAAAATCCAGCAATGGAAGACTTGGTTAAATTGTAATGAGATAGGAAAGTAACAGCTGGACTCAAAAAAAAATGAGATTAATGAACCAATCTAGTAAAAAGAGTGTGTAGTTGGATAGGGTATTAAATTTAAATTTTTTCTTTTTTGAAAAGTATATTTGCCAATTATTCAATGAAAGCAGATCTTATATAAAGTTAAGATCTAGGATAGATCTGACCCCAAAATGCAACAAGACCCGAAATGATTACTGTAGGCTTAGTACTTAATCTTTTCTTTTCATTCTCCTCTGAACACTTTGAACAAAGTAGCCATATAACTTGTATACCATATGTTCATTCTTCCTTTTGAGTACTTAGGCTGAGTCAGTGTAATCCATCCATTCATCTTTTCTGAAGACTTGGGCATGGACTATATTCAATCAATATAATTTTTTTAAACCCTTTGTCAGCATGCCTGTTAATAATTTTGGTATTTCATGTTTAGCTTATGTGACTATAGCATTGTCCATTTCTTTCAATGTTCAGTTTCTTGTAGTATTAAACAACAGGTCACTGCCATGTGAGTAAAAGGTAATTTTAAGGATGAAAATAGCCCATGTAATAGAATCAGGTTGCAATGTATCATTTATATATATCTTAAGTATAAATGTTCCAGGTTCTTTATAAAGAATGAAATTGTATCATTATTCTTTGAAAGGAGGGAAATGGAGTCTTCAAATTACAGGTCATTTTTTAAAAATTAATACAAGATAACCTTAGAACCTTTTGGAATTTGAGATCTAGGTGAAAAAGAACTTAGAAATAGACATTGTATATTGGAATATATATCAAAATTAGCCCAAGTTTCAAAGAACTGATTATCAGTCTTACTGCAAAACTCTCCATCTGATTTGGCTCATTGTCACCTTCCCTCTGAGAGACAAATGGAAGTGTTAGCTTTTGAATGAGCCAAGATGACTTTGTTAGCCTGGTGACCAACATTTTGCTCTTGGAGAGAATGTGTGTTGTCCTAGGTGGTTGCTAACAGAATTTGGAGAAGTAGAATGACCAAGTGTTTAATACCTGATGAGAATGACAGATCTAAGCCAGATGTCATTTAAAGGAATCTACATAGGCTGAGTGGGAAGAATGGTGTTCTTCTTTACTTAGCTTATGTCTGTTCTTTATTGTCAGTATTCCTGTGAAATGAGGTAGGAGGCAAGTAATTTCATTCTGTTTTATAGAACCACATCCACATTCTTTGCTTAGATCTGCTCTAGTCTGTTTTGTGTTTTCACAGTTTAAAAAAAAAAAGCATGGAGCTGGATAGACATATTTTCAGTTTAGAAATCTAGCTGACTTAGGTAATAGCAATTGCCATGCTTAAAGCAAAAGAAAAATCCTTTTATCAACCCTCAGCCTCAGAAATCTTTGGCAGGGGATGGAAAAGATGCGGCAAGACATCTGATTCATCCTCCAGTGTCTTGGAAGCTCAAAAATTTACCCAGAACAATTTTAAATGTATGAATGAAGCATTTATTAGGCATTTATTATGTGCAAAGTATTGTGCTAAGTGCTGGGGATACAGATAAAAAAGTAAGATGATCTCTGTTCTCAAGGAGCTCACATTCTAACTGGGGGGACAAAACATATAGAAAGTTTCAGCTGCAAGTAGATGGAACTGCTCCTCGGTCATTAGGGTGAAACAGCAAAAGCAGAAGTTAGTAACTCTTTTTTAATGTCATTTCCACTGATAAAATCATAACAGAGTAATATTAAGTGATTAGACAGGAAATTTTTAATTAATTTAAGCCAAGACATTTTCCAGTGTACCTATTCAGATGTATGGCATAAAGCATGGCGTAGATTTTTCCATATCTTCTCAGACAGTTTTCAAGTTAAAATGTACTTACTGATACTTGCAGGGCTCCCGAATTTTTGTATTTTATTTTGCTTACAGTGATTCTGAAGAGGTAGCATGACCACAGTGCTGAACTTTTAGTCAGTTCAAATCCTACCTCTCAAAATTACTAGCTATGTGGTCCTGGGCAATTCACTTAACCTCTGTGTACCTAAGGCAACTCACTTACTAAGTCGTAGATTGTGTGGCAGTTCCTTCTGCTGATGAAATCATAGATGCTTCATTTATTCTCCTGGTACTCAAGTTTAGTGGTGGCAATACTTCCTGTCTTCTTAAGGAATATAAGTCTAACAGAAGAAGTATGACAGATGGACTGGAGGAGGGGAGAAAAGTGGAGGCAGGAAGATCTGTTAGGAGGCTGTTGAAGTAGTTCATGTGGGTAGAAATGAAGGCCTATCCCAGGATGGTAACAGTAGGAGTACAGAGAGAAGGCTAAGGCAGCATACTGTTTTGGATAAAGCATTGGATTTGAGTCAGAGGATCTTGTTTTGAATCTGCCACCAACTACTTGTATGACTTTGGCAAAGTCACTTGATATTTTGGGGTCTCAGTTGTTCATCTGTAAAATGAAGATGTTGAACTAGGTGACCTCTAAGGTTGTGGGTAGTTCTAAATCTTCGATCTTATCATTGCCTACAATTATCCTTTGAGGGGTCATTTTAAGTACCTACCTATTAGCACTAATGTAACCATAAAGATAAAATAGCTATAAAGAAAGTTGTTTTTCCTTATAGAAACTGAGAGGCCATCAGCACAGTTTTGCATGACCTAGAGGAAGTGATTCTGAAGTTAGCTAACATGTTGTTTTTAATTCAGGCTCTTTAAACCCAGATGAAAACATAAACCTCTACTTGGAGTCAAATGAAGTGAAAAGTAGCTCCTCCAAGTTAGAGCTTCTTGTCCGCTCTTTCAGTATCCCCAGTGGGGCTTGGATGACCTCATGTCTGCTGAAGATAAACAGGATGCAATTAGACAAGAGGCTGGTGGGAAACAAGGAAAAAAATTTTACATCTAATTAGAGAAATAACTGGATTTGGGTCTGGCCTGACTTTTCAGTGATTATTAAATCTCCATTGGGTCTGTAGCACTGGATAGAAGGCAGCATGGACACAGACAACAAATGAGATGGTGCCCGAGGACCCAGGCTGGGGCCCTGACAATGCTATTTATTTTACTCCAGCAAACATTTATTAAGCGTGTAGTGTGTGCAAAGCAGCTTGGTAAGTCCTAAGAGTACAAAGACAGATGAAAAACAGTCCCTGCCCTCAAGGAGCTTAGAGTCTGCTGGGGGAATATTAACTATGTGACATTGGGGACATGACTTCTGACTCTTATGGGGATAATAGCTGTTGCCCTATCTCCTTAAAGGGATGTAAGAGTCAAGCAAAATAAATTACAAAATGCTTTGTAAATCATGAGCACACTGTACACATATACGCAATTGCCATTAGAATGGGGGAAGAAAGCATGATTGTGCATTTTGGAGGGAAAAAAAAGAGGGTTATTTTCTCAAAAGTTTATTACCCTAAGAGAAAAAATTAATATATGTGTATGCACTGAATCCAACAAGAAGATATGACTATTGGTCCAGTAGGATGTGTTACCCAAATGCATGTTATTTTGAAATAATATTTGATGTTTTGATTATTGAAATTGAAATCAATAATAATTTCACAGAATTGAGAATTTCTGAGTTGGAAGGGTCTCAGCAGCTGTTTAGCTCAGCTCATATCTGAAAAAGAGTCCCCTCTCCAGTGTTGGAGGGAACCACATAAGTGATCAGCCAGCCTTTGCTTGAAGATTTCCAGTGTGGTAGAATCCACTTCCTGAGACAGCCCATTCCACTTTGGGATAGCACTGATTGTTAAGAAATTTTTCTGCTTGTCAAGCCTAAATTTTCCTCTTCAAATTCCACCTGTTACTCTTGGTTCTGATTCCAACTGATTACTGAGTCGTTTCAGTCATGTTCAACTCTGCATGACCTCATTTGTGTTTTTCTTGGCAAAAATATTGCAATGGTTTGCCATTTCCTTCTCCAGCTCCTTTTATAGATGAGGAAACTGAGGCAAGCAGGGTTGAGTGACTTGCTCAGGGTCACACAGCTAATAAGAGTCTGAGGCCAGATTTGAACTTGTGAAGATGAGTCTTCCTGACTCTGGGCCTGGCACTCTATCCAATGCACCACCTAGCTGCCCCTTTCACATAACAGCCTTTTAGATACTTGAAGACAGATATCATGTCCCCCTTCCCTAGACATCTTTTGTTTAGAAGTGCCTACTAGTCCCTTCTTAATTAAGAAATTGAACTAATATGCATTTGCCCTTTGTGCAAGTGGCTCAGGAATATAACATACTTATACAAATAGCAGTTGCTA